CTGAAGATCCATCATTGCACCTGCTTCAGCCGCCCACTGCCTGGCTTGGGTCACGCAACCATCCGCAGGCCCCAAGCGAGACATTAACTCTTTTAGTGCATGGATGAAACCTACAAACATCAATTTTCTCTCTCAAGTGAAAGAAAAGGAAAGAGTGAAGATACAGAGAGAACAACATTAGACATGAAGGTCCGTAAGAAGCCACGTCTCAGATGGGAGGGATTGAGGGGATGCCTCAGTCCTGGGCTGAAATCTTCTTGTCAGGCCATGGAGTAGATATAATTGATAATCAGACTCTTTTTCCCTGTAACTCATTGAAAAGTACAGGGGATGAAGTGTACGAATTGAAGTTATGAGCAAAGGCATCTGTGCTAAAGCAGGCAGATATTGAAGTAGCTGTGGTGCCATGAGAAGTTTTAACAGACAGAGAGAGGAGTGATGAGGACCCTTTACCCCAGGGAAAGAAGAAGAAGACAATGACCTCTGTTCCCAGAGATGAAGATGATCTCTGGAAACAGATTAGAGATTAATAAAAATTAATTAAATCAATAATTAATTAATTAAAGGTTCTCTTTATTGATCTCTGGAAAGAGATTAACAAAGAGAACCTTTGCTCTTGAACAGTTCATCCTTAGAATAGTACCCTGTAAGCTGACATGGCCCATGAGTACTGCTGTGGGAAGGCTGCAAGAGCTGGGAGGGGCTTCACAATCGCAGATTCCTGGGCAGCTGCTATTCATGAAAATTAAAAGCCATGAGAGAACAGTTTTCTTGTAGGGAAGTCTCCATAGCATGACAAGAGAGACTCCTCTCCCTAAGTGAACTGATGAAAGAATATTCTAGAGGTGATAAATGGACTGAATTGTTTCTATATATTGTTAGTGGGAAAGAAAAGAGGATGTGAGGGAGGAGGAGTGTTCTAAAGGTTTTATTCTGATTTTTGTTATTCTTTCTTTTAGTTACTGTTAATAAAATTTTCTTTATACCCTTTTAAAGTTTTGAGCCTGCTTTGCCATCCTTCTAATCCTATCTCACAGCAGGAAATGAGTAAATAATTCTAGAGGGTACATGGACATTTGGCCAGCACTGAACCCACCACGGTAAGGCTGCCAAAATTGGAATTGCTCAGTTGGACCTAGACTGGGAAAGAAAGACTGGGCCATTTATAGCCCAATGAGCCCATGAAACATCAGGATATTTAGGAAGGGATGCAATATATAGGTGGCTTGTGATTGAAGGGTGGACCTGACTATGGAAGCTGTCACATAGGGTATTCACAAATGTGAAATATGTACTGCAATCAAGCAAGCTGAGCAGTAAAATCTCCTTGGAATTGAGGGTGGTTTAGCTGGGTTTCCAGTATGGTGAAGCTTGGCAGATTGACTACACTGGACCACTGCCACAAACATGCCAAGGCAAGAGCTATATACTCACCATGGTAGAGTCCACAACTAGCTGGCTGGAAACATAAACTATAAACCATGCCACTGCTCAAAACACTATCTTAGCCTTAAGAAACACGTTTTGTTGTGACATAGTACCTCAGAGAATAAAATCAGACAATTTTCAAAATAGTCTTGGAAACTCTTGAGCAAAGAAACATGGCATTGAGAGGATATATCACATCCTTTATCACTCACAAGCCTCTGGAAAGACTGAGAGAAGGACTGCTGAAGACTATGTTAATGATGTTAAGGTAAAAGGGCATAAATTTGCATTAGGATGCAAATTTACCAGAAGCTTAAGCTGGTTAACAACAGCGGATCCGTTGGCCATCTGCTCCGGCCCAAACAAAACCCTTCCATACTGTGGGAGGAGATTAGGTCCCCTCACTACACATCGAGAGGTGGCTGGGGAAGTTGGTGTGGATTTCTCCTTCCATGGGAAAAAGCAAACCCATTTGTGGGATTGTTTTAGCCCAGGGACTGGGATGTATTTGGTAGGTAGTGTGGAAGAGTTGGGAGACCTGCTTTGTGACTCAAGGAAATTTAGCCTTGTGGGGAAAATAATCTGTGGCATAAATTATGTGTTGCAGGAAGTAAAGTAGCAGAAATTACTTGAACTGATGAAGAATTAATTTTGTGAAGGGCAAGCAGGATGCAATGATGACTCAAGTCAGGCTGGTCTTGGTGACCGATGATAAAATATGCTTCTTCTCCTGTCTTGACTACCCATCCTGATTGAATGGAGCCCAAGTCATGGATCTGGAGAAATGGAGGAAGCCCATGAAAAGGAAAAGTAATATCAATCTGTTAAAGGACAGGGGTAGTAGTTAGTGAAAGTGTATATTGGTTGAAGGATGTAGTTTAAGTTGTAAGTGTGGGTAAAAAGAGATTCCAGTAATGACAAACATAATGGAAGAATTGGATAGATTGTGTGGGATCTGAGTAGGATGCAAATGGTATGGAATAAGGGGTGGAAATTGTATTGAGACTGACAGAAATAGAGTTCATTTCCCCACAGCAGCCCTCACAGTGCTGTGCTTTGCATTGGTAGTCAGAAAGGGACTGGTGACACACCAGTGGTTTTGCTACTGTGAAGCAGCACTGGCACAGCATTGGCACTGTCTCTAACAGTGTCCTGGTAGGCGACACAACTATGCCAAAATAGCTGACCCAAATAAACCAAAGGGATATTCCATACCGTGTGACATCAGCTCTGATACAAAAGCTATGGGGGAGAGGAGGAATGGGGGATGTTTGTTATGTTACCACTTTTGCCTTCTGGAGCAACCATTCCAGAAGTGTGTGCTGAAATCCTGCTTTCTGGGAAATGGCTGAATATTGCTTGCTGATGGGAAGTAGGTATTAATTGTTTTCCCTTTTGCTTATGCACATGTAAACTTTTGCTTTTCTTTTTTTTTTTGGTTCTTTGCTTTTGTAAACTGCCTTATCTCAACTTACTGGTTGTTTTGCATCTTATTTTCTCTCCACTGTCCTGCTGTAAAGGGGAGTGATAGAGCAACCTGGTGGGCATCTGGCATCTAGCCAAGGTCAATTCACTACACATGCACTGAAAATATTCACCAACTTCACTGGTAAAGGTAAACCTGAGTCATACATATTTCTTGTCATGTACTTGTTGTGACATACTTTACTGTAGAGGCAGTTGGTCGGGGGTCTGATGGCTCGACCTGGATGCCACAACCTTCTCAGAGAGAGGTCCTGCAGGAGACAACTTTCTAGGAGTCTTAGGAAGTCCTTCAGCTGCCGGGTAACCTCAACAAGGGGCAGCTAGCTCAGCTCAGGTCTTAGCAGTGATTTCAGCTCTGCCTTGCGAGGTGTACCCTGGCCAACACAGGGACAAAGAGACAGGAGAGCCATGTGGTCGTTCCACAGAGGTAGCCTTTATTCCAGCACCCTGCAAAGGATGCCAGCAACAGCAGCTCTCTCCTGAACAGGGCAGAAACTGTGGTTTTTTCGGGGAAAAGCAGGGGTGGTACAATGAGGGAAAAACCAATCAGTCCCAACAAATCTACATGGGGTTCCAAAGCCTGCTGGGAACTCACCATGACCAAGGAGGATTTCTCAATCCATGAGACTTTCTGATCTTGTCATAGCCCATTCAAGGGACACCACTCCAAGGGAGAGGGCTGGCATGCACATCTGTTTCCACACTTTATTGTGGATCTTATATTAATGTTGTTACTTGAACTATTGATTGTTTATATTTTAAGTATTATCTCACTGATAGATTAATAGGATAAAAACAAGTACACTTTCTAAGTAAGAGGTATCCCATTAATCATATAGTGGACCTCTTCTGCAATTTAATATGCAATTATTTATTGTAAGCTCATTGATTACATCTTGAGAGTATACATTCACATATATTTGTGAATGGACTGCATTCTCATGAAAGATGTTGGGTCAGTTACAGTGGCAAATGGAGTCCAAACTAGTATGGTCCTCAGCTGTCTGTATAAGCGACTTAAAAAGATAACTAAATTCAGTCTGCCAGGCTAGATAATCGTCAGCTTCTCTGCATAGTTTCCTAATGGTTCAGCTACTACATCTATCCCAGAGTTATTAAGGTAAGCACACAGTGTCCAGTTCTATCCTTTTTTTTGGTAAAATATTCTACCAATACCCATCTCTCTACAAATGCTGTAGCCAGCTGTGAAAGCAATTCTTGTTTGAATCATTGAGGTAAACTATTTAATAGGTCACATGATGCTCTTCTACCTTGCAGTAAGCATATGCCATTGAGTAACATTATTCCTTTTACTCAATTTTTACCTTCCTGCTGTGATTTTGAATCTTTAAAACCTCTCCTAACTGATTACCTAGGATTCAATTTAAAAAACAGATGTGAAAAGAAATTATTTGGAGCAAAAGCATCAACTATCCAACAAATTTATCTTTCAGCAATCCAGTGGAGACAATTACCAGCAAGCATTGCACTTCCCTAGTGTTTCTCCTCTGAGATCTCTGCCCTCCATCCTGTTTGATGCCTCTGTCAACACTGAGAGCCCTTAGGTGTAATTTTAATTCTAAAGTAAATTTATCTTTTCCTCTTTACAGACACAAGTCATGAGCAGATACAGGCAGAGGAAATTTTTTCTTTGCATTTCAGAGACTCTAGAATTGAATCCTGGCCCTCTCACCTTCTTCATCTATCCCATCAGCTCTGCACTTGGGAATTTTCACTGTGGTCAGTGTTATTCCAGGAAATGAAAGCTGAACAAATTAGGTCAAGTGTCAGGCAAAAAAAGCAGTTTCAATCACCAGCTGATGTTTTACTACTCTGTGTTACCACTTCTAGTGCCGGGTACTGTATGAGTACTGCACTGGACAAAACTTGATCTGACCTGAGGTGGATTCCTTCCTGACAAAAATGCTAGGAAGCCCCTTCTAGTAAATTGACAGAATCCTTCAAACCCTGTGTAACTGAAATTTCTGCCATTCATGTCCAATAATGCTTGCTGGGATTTATGAGATGCAGATAAGCAGATAAGCACTTGGTGGTAGTTTAAATTCAAGTGTACAACTGAGAAAATTATTTATAAAGGTGAAAGATCTTTTTTAATGTGCTGCCACTTTGAATGACCCATGAATATTTACATTGTATATTGAAATATCACTGTAATCTAACTGTGGATTGTGTCTCCATCCTTTTCTTCTTCTTCCATAATCACTGTTTGTTCTTCTTCTGTAAATAGCTTAGTGCCTTAAAAAGAGAAGAACACAAAGAATAAACAAACAAACAAAAAAACAAATTAAAAAAAGGTGGAAAAGTGAGTTGATTTAATATACTACTTTCTAGAAAATATCAGGCAAAAGAGAATTTTTTAGTTTTCTCTTATTTCATGATTTTAATGTCATCACACAAATTGCTCCTCATTTCTTTTTGGCATTTCAGTCCCTTAATACTTACTGAATTAGAGTTGAATCACTGCATTTTTAGCAAAAATTATTAAGCATTCTTAAATCCAGTATATTTTTGGTATCCGTAAAAAGAGACTGAAGTTTCATGTGGGAACCTGTTTGTTAGAAGGGTTTGGGTAGCTAAATAAGGGAAAGAGCTTGCATGATGAAGCAAATACTGTAATTAATCTTTGTAACAGGAACAGTTTTTATGGACGTGTAGATTTTCTCTACGTCTATAGCATATTACTTAGGTCTTGCAAGTGCAGGTGAAACAAGAGATGTTTAAATACCCACATGACAAGTATAATCTCCACTGAAATAATAAAGCATCAATAAATTGCAAAAGCTACTAAATGAAGAACAATGTGAAAATAGACTTGGATTGTAGATCATACTTCCCAAAAATCTGTCACTTCTCCTTTCTCTGTGTCTCTCTCTTTTTCTCTGTTAAACCAGTAAGTGTGTCCTTTGAGGATCCAGAGGCTTTTATATAATACCCAGGTATAACAAATATTGTAACTGCTTTCCTCATTAAAAAATAAGTAAGAGTAATGTGAGAACAATGCATTAGGTACAAAATATTTACCTATACTGCCCTTCATTTAAGTTAACTCCTGCTTCATTTATATTCTTGTGAACTAGCTGGTTTCAGCAGCACTATGAGATAAACTGAAAGGCATAAATTATTAACATTCATTTATGTCTTTCAGTTAATTTCAAACACAAAGGACTTCATTTGTTCAAGCAGCAATTAAGTAGCTCTTTTGTTAACTGCAAAGAATGATCGCATTTTATGGAGATAGATGTAAATATTCCTCACACAGATTTCTATTCCTATAGGCAACCTAGGCAAAGATAGACAAGGGGTTTTTTTTCCTGATGCCTTTGTATTTTGGGTTGTGTGTGCTGCAAAGGAGAGTGGGGGTTATATTTTGTTGGTTTTCAATGGGCCAAGGAGAGGCAGGGAAAACATAAAATGTGCTTAAAATGTACCTTCAACATGTGTGATGAAATTCAATCTATATGCATTTGCTATTGAGAGAATGACAGAAACTAATGCAATTTTCAGTTATTTTCAGTTATACCACCAATGACACTTTGTTGCCTGCTGTTGAAACTGCCTTTGAACACTTGGCATGGAATCAAAGTAGCCTGCTAAGATGCTGCCTCTCTGTACAGAGCTTTTCAGATCCTGTGTTCTGGATCTGTTTTCAAGGGATCAGCTGCCTGTGGCAGACTGGTGCCTGTGTCAGGCAAAATAACCTATGTATTTAAATGCCTGAATTTTATTCCCTTCCTCTTCTAAAGATGCGTATTTAATTTTCAAGGTACATCCAACATACATCATTCTGACAGTTGAAGTTCATCAGTGATGGCTCCGTGATATGCTATGAAAAGCCTTTTGTTGAAGGCTGGTCCAATATTTGCTACTTATTTACTTTCAGATTTATTCCATCTGGTAGCACACACAAAGAAACTAAGCTTTTATGGAACTGCTGTGCAAAACAGAACCTGAATTATAAACTTGGAGACCTGAGAAGACCCAGCAGAGCTATGTGAGCTAAGTAAATATAGACAAACCTTTCTGTCCTGTCTCCTTGTCATTAGTCTTGCTGAAGTAAGCAGCACTCAGTGCTAAATGGTATTGATGCCTTGGAGTGGCTACCTAGAACAGAGGCTTGACAGAGTTAAGAGAATAAAGTGGGTATTTTTTAAAGGCCTTCAATAGCTACACCCAAGTGTAAAAACCTCATGGAGGCTACACCCAAGATGGACAGCAGTCACAGGTTTTTCAAGCAGATAGAAGTTTTGTCTGTTTGCATATCAGGGGTTAATTCTCCAATTACAGCTTAAGGCAATAAAGCCATATTCCCTCAACTCGCTCCTCCCCAATTCACTTTTGGTTATATACTTTTCAGGGCCGAGGCTGTGGTGTGTCCTTGGATCACAGGTCCAGAGGGATTCTTTTGTCTAACTAAAATGTAAAGATAGTTAACTACACTTTATATGCCACCATTTCTAATATTTCTCCTTCAGCTCCCCTGCAAACCACTTCTAGATACCAATTCAAGAAACTCCACTTAATTCTAGTAAAAGATATTATTTAATAGTCTCTTGAACAGCTGTCCACACAAATACTTTTTGTAAATGCAGCGAAAATGGCAGATGTGTTATACCTCTTTGTTTTGACCAGCACTTCTGACAGTCTCTCTCCCTTTTGGGTGGTCTGAGAGATTTTCTATCACAAATAAAAGCAAGTCAAATGTACCATTTAAAATTAAGAAAATTAATGTGTCTACTAGGTGGCATTTGGTCCAGATGAGGAGCAGAATCAGTTTTACACCTTGGGAGCACCCAATCCAATTGGGAAGTGTAGTTAAAGAAAGGGGCCTACTAAATTAGTTATCTGAAATCTGCTCTACAAGGGTCAGGCTTCTAAATGTATTCAGCCTTCAAACTTCTACTGAAGTGGCACAGTTAATGTTATGCCACATCCATACAAATGAGTCATGAGCGGATGTCTCCTTCAGTAGCAAGTTCTTCTCCAGTCAGCCAACACCTTGTCTTTCTGAAGGAATTAGACCAGAATACAAAATATAGTCAAATTTCTAATGGTCATTTTTTCCATATCACTTGACAGTAAATGGCTTGAATCTGATCCAAGCCCGTAGTCAGCTCTGGAACACTCTGTTGCCATCCCCACTTAGCAATTTATAGTCCATTAACTAAATTAATGGTCTTCAGCCCTGTGGGTTTGAGCTAGAATGTAGATACATGTGTAAATATGGGAATACAGTTCCTGAAATGTTACTGAGGTTTCCTAATCAAATGAGAGATGACTTGTAAAATTAGTTTCAAATCCTCATTCTCTCTCATAGCCTAGAAAACCAGTTAAGGCAGCTCCTTTACAAAAATACCACACCTCCATTGAAAACGTCTGGGTAAGAAGAATGGAAGTTTAACTATTCACCTCTTCCCTCTCCCAGCTCAGCTGCAGGCATTGTCCCTAGGCTGTCTGTAGACATGTGCTATCTTGTTGTTTCTCTGATTTGTAGCCCAAGAGGTATGGCTTAAATCTAGGTGGCACCTGACAAATAAATTATTTAAGACAACATTTTCTGTCTAGTTTTTAACACTCATGTTTCTGTGAGCCATTGTGGTTCTAGAGTGTACCTAAAAATTGCAATTACTTGCAAGTTCTGTTGGGAAATTATGGGGACATTGTATATTTACCCTCTGTTTTCTTTAGTCAGATTCCTTGGCAGATATTAACAGAACAATCTAATAATCCTTAAAATAGATCTACAGGATGAGCTGCATTTCATAATACACACAGCTAGGAAAACAGAAGTAGGGAGGCTAAGTGACTTTTTAAAACAGCAAACAGAGAAAGACCAACTTACAAATGTTTAGCAAATCAAACATGCTTCTCACTCTTTGAAACCCAGAACTTCCAAATTGCATTCAGTAAAGCACATTTTCTTCTCAAGTGATCAGAGGCATCATATCAAAGGGAAAAAAAACGTTTTCCCAGTGTTATACAAATCATTACCATTTTGACTTCCTTCTTGTATTCCCTTTCCATTGTTTTGCATTAAAATGCTGATTTGTCCTTGAAATTGCTGGTGATCCAAGGAAAGTTTATAACATGCATCTCTGGACTGCATCCCTCTGAGCTTTGAATCCTGAACTCTACTGGGAACCTCTGTAGTTCATCAGTTAGCAAAGTGATTCATTGGTAATGATCTTGCTATTGATTGTGGTAAGCATCAGACACACTACTAATATGTGTTCCTCTTACAGCTGGGGACCTCTGTCTGGGCCAAACATTTAAGCTGTGTCTAGAATCTGCTCTAAAAAGGCTGGTTTGTACGCCATAACTAGGTAATCAGAATTACATAAATATACTTTTCCTTCATCATTTCTTAATTTAAATAAGAGAGGGAATTTGTTCATAAAGCATGGTGCAGCTTTATTTAGTGTATGTTCCTGAGCTCTGACTCCTGAGTTTACCCAAAAAGCAGTTTCCCTTCCCTTCCCTTCCCTTCCCTTCCCTTCCCTTCCCTTCCCTTCCCTTCCCTTCC